CATTTATGTATGTATGTATCAAAAATATTCAGAACAGAAAGTTGTACAAAAAAAAGTCAATAGTTATTTAAAATCTCAATATTACATATATATAAAATATTGTCATGAGTAAAATGTCGTAATACTATTGCTTGTGATGTATGTATAATAAATGTAATTATGTCAAAGTATAGCGTAACACTATTTCAGTGTTGATAAAGAAGAATACGATAAATGTTGTTTTTGTTGATCTGGTTCAATATAACAGTATATATATATATATATATATATATATATTAATATTTTTACAATTTGTAACCAATAGAATACATAAAAGAAAGGAAATTGAAATAAATGTATTGTGGTAGGTACCACCTATAGGTTAACTCAAATGTAGTTAAGGTTCACAAAAATAATACATAATACAGAACTTTTAAAATAGTCAATCTATTCATAATAATATAATATGTAAAATCAAAAGTGGTTATAGTTGTACATACATATTATAATTTCTTAAAATAATTTTTTTTTGCATTTCAATTATATTCTATGTACATAACTTAAGACATTAAGACTTAGTGTAATAAGTGTTAAATGGCTTTCAAAAATCTAATTTATTACTTTAATTTATAAATGTTAATTAATAATATGATGTAATTAATTTCTTAATAATATATACTGTTATTAGTGGACAACTACTATAGTGTTAAGTCATTGTAAAGTGAACAGAGAACTGCTTGTCAAATTAAACAAATGAATAACATACATATGAAATTTCTAATTTACAAAGTACCGGTTTCAATAATTTATATTATGCTGAACGGCTTTCCTAAAATGTCTTTACTATTAAGATGATTGAGTATTATATGTAGTTAAGCGAATTGAACTAATGAAAAATAATTGAAAATGAATTCAGTTATTGCTTGAGGAGTACATATTATAATATGAATGATGATTGTTATACACAGTTGTCAACTGGCCATGCTGATACTACTGTAGTGGAATTTCAATTAATAGAAATCATGCATTAAGTGGGCAGTTGTTTTAAGCTAATACTCTAAACAATTTTTTTTTGTAACAATAATATAAAGTTATATATTATATATTCAACAAAAACTCTAAATTATTGAACAACAGTAGAGCGCATACGACAAGATAGCCCAACATTTATGTATTTATGTATCAAAAATATTTAGAACATAAAGTTGTACAAAAAGACATCAATAGATATTTAAAATCTCATTATTTTACATATATAAAATATTGTCATGAGTAAAATGTCATAATACTATTGTTTGTGATGTATGTATAATAAATAAAATTATGTCAAAGTATAGTGTAACACTATTTCAAAGTTAAGAAAGAAGAATACGACAAAATATTGTTTTTTGCATTTTAATTATATTCCATGTACATAACTTAAGACATTAAGACTTAGTCTAATAAGTGGTAAATGGCTTTCAAAAATCTAATTTATGTCTATAATAATTTATAAATATTAATTAATAATATGCTGCAATTAATTTCTTAATAACATACTGTAGTGTTAGGTCATTGTAGTGTAACAGAGAAATGCTTGTCAAATGAAACAAATTAATAACATATATATGAAATTTCTAATTTACAAAGTACCGGTTTCAATAATTTATATTATGCTGAACAGCTTTCCTAAAATGTCTTTACTATTGAGATGATATGTGAGATGATTGAATATTATATTTAGTTAAGCGAATTAAAATAATGAAAAATAATTGAAAATGATTTCAGTTATTGATTGAGGAGTACATATTATTATATGAATGATGATTGTGATACACAGTTGTCAACTGGCCATGCTGATACTACTGTAGTGAAATTTCAAATAGTAGAAATCATGCATTAAGTGGGCAGTTTTTTTAAGCTAATATAAAGTTATATATTCAACAACAACTCTAAATTAATGAACACCAGTAGTTTATACTCTGCTGTTCTATGTTGTGTTTATGTACAATAATTTAAGTTTACATAAGTTGCAAGTGCAATGTACGTTAGGTTAGGAGGTCACAGTGAGGCCAGAAAACCAAAAAGAACTTCACAAATGCAATATTTGAAAGAATATAATGTGTTAACTTATAGAAAAATGCATTTTGATGACATGCCTGTCTATTTCATTTCCGTTCCATAATTCCATGGTCGCTGCATCGTGCCCTTTATATACGTATTTATACAAATACTGAACACTCTTCACGGTAGAGCATACCTCAACATTAATGTGAGCATCGTATTATGCTAAAAGGTACGGGTTGTAAGGCACGACAAACTCGTTGCTGACCTGTTGATTTCTGACCCTGGCCACAGGTCCGTTGTTTGGCCGATAGTACTTTGGGTAACCACCGTCAGAAATGTATACAGTCTCTTCGCTGTATTCTTTTGGAAACTCTTTGAACAACTGTTGTCCACCATGCATGGGCTGTTTGGGTTCAGCGTGGCACACGGCCCGTGGATCATGTGTCTCGTCACACAATCGAATAGACGCGGAGCAGTCACCGGGTCTGGCAAGAAGGCGCACACTACATTGTCGGCGTCGTCGGCAGTTAGCAACTTGCTACCCTCACTCAGAATGATCAGTATGTGGGCGTGCGGCAGTCCTCGTTTCTGAAACTCGACAGTATAAAAATATGCATCGACATCACCATTCACCAAATATATTGTTCACCGTTATGTCGCGCATCAGCTGCTTGAGTTTCGCGTTGAACACTCTGGACACCAGGTCCGGTCTGTCGGTTGCCGTGGCCCATCTCGGTAGGTTCTGTGCTAGGATTACACGTAAACGTAATAAAAAGATTAGGCTTTCCACACTTACTCACAATGGCCATCACGTCATGATAACACTTCATGAAACGGGGACCACCTGTGAACGACGATGGCAAAATCATCCTACGGCTGACGCCCGCCACGGGTGCGTCGATTCGGAGCTGTTGGTTGAAGTGATCCACAAGTCCCTGATACGATTCTGCGAAAAGCTCAGCTTGATGAAATCTAATGTACAGTAAGTTGTTCGCTTCCATTCTAACGTAATGATCACCTTCACACTGTTGCAACAGATATCGACCATTATGTAATAAACTCATAGCATCGTGGATTGTGTCGTTGTTGCCATTGTAACGAATAGCAAGACGATAGCAAGTATACTCCCTGATACTGTTCCGATTGCGAACAGGGGTTCGGCGAGGGCTCTCTTGTAGCAAACGTTGATGCCAACCCAGCTCTCCTCGTGGGAAGAGTAGGGGATACAGCATTAGATCCGCGTTTGAAGATCCGGCTGGTATGGTCTGTAGCCGGCGATGTTGCGGGTCAATCGGATTCCGGTCGTGGATCACCAGATCGACGTCTGTTGGCGGTTGACAGTCATCACTGGCAAACACTACTGCGACTTCGTTGACCGTTTCAGGCGGTGGGTTGTATCGCCTCCTGTCCACATTTCCGTCGGCGACAAAATGCATTCTCAACCTCCTCGGAAGCAACTGAGGATCTCTGTCGGGAGCGTTTTCTCTAGCCCACACTTCTCGCATGGTTCTGTAACGAAGTAAACACGGTCTTGGGATTTATTATACAAAATTGAAATTTATTAATCGTTGTGTAATAGGTACATGTTTGTAGCGCATATACAGGGTGTCCCGTGAGGATTTACTCATTAGCCGTAGAGGGGGACTCGCCGCCCGGACAAAAACCAGTTTATTGACGTTTTACTAATAAACTAAAAAAATTATTAAAAATCATGAGATTAATGAAAATAAAATGTTAAAAGCTCAAAATGTTCACAAAAATATACTCTATAGAATGGCTATCTTCAATTTTTTCAAAAATAAAAAAATAATTTTTTTAACTTTTTTACTAAAAAATTTAATTTAATTAAAAAATAAAATATTTGTAGTGCTTACCTCTGCGAGTCTTAATAAAAAAACATAATTACGATATCTCCATTATTTCAGGAGATATCGCAATGAGTAAATCCTCACGGGACACCCTGTATATGTGTATTGTTAATGTTCTCAGAAATGTCAACGTCAGAGTCCTATTTAATTAATCCTCACACATAATATCAACAAAGAGTGATGTGGTAGTGTAAAAAAATGACAGAGAGTAGCATAATGCAAAATGTAGTACAATGTATAATACCAAATGTTTTGTTTGGATACATTGACTTGAAGTGTCTTAAAGTACATAAGGAACAAAAACAAAAGTAATAGAAATCATTAACTCTAACTCTAGTCACGTGTGTTTGTGTTCATTTGAAATGAAATGAGAAATATTCAAGTAGAAGTTGAGTTTTGTACATAGGAGTAGTGTACCCACATAATGCACACACAGAAAGAAGAAAATAATGTATAGAAATGTAAGCATAGGTATAAATGAAATAGAAAAAAACCAATATCTAATGACAATCGGAGACAGCAGTAACGCAATTTAAATACGTTATACTTTATTTTAAGTGTAGTGCCTATGGTAAGTATAAAGTAAGTGTGGCATGAGAGAGTAAGATTGGTTGTAAGTTAGTGATGAGTTAAAAATGAGCTGTGACAATGCAATAGTGTAGTGTATAGCACCAACGTTGTGTCATACATTGAAGTGTAGCAGTGTATGTATAGAATTTTCCATATACCTACCAAGTATCTTAATACTTTTAAGAGAAATAAATCTGTATCCGTAACTGAATATGAACAAAATAAAATAAACTTTTAATTTGTGACCAAACGTTGTTAATATAATATTTAGGCAATAATGTGTTGTGATTGCGAATAAGAATTTATGTTTTTCTAGTTATTACTCATTAATGCAAGCTACTTTGTAACTAATTGAAAATGTATGAATGCAAGCAAAGTAAAAATGTATAAATGAATAGTGTAAGTAGGCAGGTAAATATACACTGACATAAGGCTAATGAAATAGTGTAATTAATTATTACAATTGGAAATTGGAATAGTGAGTAGTGACATGTGTACTTGCTAGCTAACTAAATATTTCAATGTTATGAATCAATGTTAACATGGTTTGTCTGTAGTGTAGCGTAATGGAAATGTGGATTGTTCAGTAAAATGAATTAAATATATTACTCGAAAGCCTGTGCGAATGGATTTATGCCCCGTAACAGGCCGTCTTAAGTCTTCGAGCACACTTGGAAATAGACGTTGTGCGGCAGGCAGTAGTTGCTGCTGCTCCCTACGAATCCGGTTTGTCTCGCCGGATTCGACAAAATACAGCTGGCAGAATCTGCGTTGGATAGGGTCGTTCCCGATCAAGTCATTACTTATCGTCCAATATCCCTGCCCATGAACAGTAAACACATTCGGTCCCCGACCTGGCAAGCGCCGTGTGTTTAAGGCGGTGGAGAATGCAGCAAATGCCAAAGTGTTGTTGTACCGGCGGATGTTATTTCGGTAGTGTCTACCTTCTACCGAATCTTCAACCAACAACCTCTGTAGTAAATACGGTGCAGGTGTCAACACACGCGGTCCTGAAACGGCCATCAGACCGTTGTTGCAGCATGTAGAAAAATTATTCGGGCTTGTTTCCTCGCACTTAAATTGGCGGGCCCTACAATACCGGCATACGTAATTCAACGCGCCTATGTAGTGTGGTTCCGGTAGTGGGTGCTGAACGCCAGCCGGACGGTCTAGCAACAGTCTAGTGACAACCGGGGTGATTTATTCAACCTGAAATTTAAAAGACACGGTTGTATATTATTTTTTTCCTTTATGAGCATTAAATGAATAATATAATTTATACAAAATATATACAAAATATATACTGACCTCTTGAATGTCGTACAGTGGTGAAAGGTCGAAAACACCAACAAAGTTATCATCATCTGATACTTGTTCGTCTCCGTTCACGATAACTATTTCAACGTTGTCGTCGTCCATCGCGACTTCGTCTGCCTCAACGTTGTCATTGTCCATCATGACTTCAACTACCTCAATGTTTTCTTCCAACAAAAGTTCATCCCTCGGAATTTGTACACCGGCATCGACGTTTTCCAAATGATCTTCTCGTTCTCTGTATGGTCCGACTACCTATAGAATCATAGACGGTTAATTTAAATGTTTAAAAACAAAAATAATTTAATCTTAAGAACGGTTCATTCTAGAGTGAACTAAATATACAATAGAGTATTTATTGTGAAACAATAACATTGCAATAATATTTTATTTTCTATTCGTTTCTACTGCACAACATAGTGTAGTTATTAAGTCATTAACTTTAGTGTCAATTAAAAGTGTAATGCAATATAAACTAAAATTGTGTAGTTTGTAGAATGTACCAAACCAAATATAACCCAATGTATTAATTGATTATATGTACCTAAATGAAATTGTAATTAAGAAATATTAATATATGTGTATGTGAAATGTATAATAATGTAATGTATTTTTTTGTATGTATGTGTTATTATAAATGATGAGCAAGGTGGATTGACTATTGTAATAGTTGAGTATGGTTATAGTAATTACAGTATATAACGTCACATGGAATTTTAAGTGAAAAAAGTCAAAATTAATACAATATTGTTAAACTTAACTTAATGTAGAATAAATTGAATCGTCAAAGACAATGAAGATATGTGAAAGTGAAATGTATCTATAATAATGTAATATTGTATTTGAATGTAAAATGTTGTTTACAAAAGTGTATATTTTGGTAGTAGGTATGTACATTTTATATTCCTAAACTATAAGGATATAAGAGTGTGTTTTGCTGTACAGTCAGTTCGGTAGTTGATATGATATGAAGATATGTGGATACTCACCAAAGATGGCACCGCTGTGCGGACCAGACGACGGCGTAGTGCACCCCCTTCAACGTAGTCAAGACCAGGAACAAAATGCCTAGAACACAACGCAGAGTTTAGGTTTACATGAAAACCTTGGTTCACCACGAATTCCACCCACTGAAGACGACGCACGTCAGTTGGAATTCTAAGGATGAATGTGATTTATAACATGTTACATTATTGATATGTGTTGGGTGAAATTGTAAATACCTGTGCAGCGAAATGTTATTGTCACCATCCACGTTTCCACAGATCACACATCGTCTCACCATTGTGAATAGCCTGGAACGCATCGTTTAATCGTTTAAAGATTAATAATAATACATAATATATAATTATTATAATGAAAGCATTGAAATCATTTTGAAAAGATGATCGTATCGGTATGTTATCAGCAGTGATTTTGCAACTTGTGTTATTTTTAGAATTGATAATATAGTTTGTACATATACCTTTTGTACATATAGGTACATGAAAAATGGAAAAATACGAAAAACGACAAACTGAGCTCGAGGAATGTTAAAACCACAAAACAAAGTAGAATGAATACAAGCAATGTTAACGCAAATAGGTACTTAAGATACGGACGGCCTCTGTCGGCTGACGTGACTGAGCCGAGTACGAATGTGGATATAAAAAACTTTATATTCAAATTGTATACGCTGTTTATGGGGAAAAAGAAACACGAAACGCGCCATGGTCAAAATGTTATGTACAATGTTTGCAGTGTGTACAGAAAACCTTAAGAGTTAAGATGGCCTTAAACGATACGAGCTACCATGAATACCTACATGTTATGTAATAGATGTACAAACGCACGGGATAGGTAATAATGCTAATATTATTATTGTGTCTGTCAAAATTGTACTCACCTGTATCAAAAATCGCTTGATCCAAAACCAAAAATACGTTAGAAGGAAAGCACTTGTTAAGAGTCTAGAAATATTAAAATGTGCAAAAGAATCAACAGGGTTCCTGTGCATATACAAACGTCTCCTTCGAACGTTGGCCGTAGCCTGACGTTGGATAACACGGTACGGTTCCGAGAGCTTAGTTACCCTCTCCATTCCACCCCCGTGCGATAAGTTTTAACTAATAATGTTCCAAAGGGCATTTAATGTTATGGACAGACGGTAATAAAAGATACGAAATAAAATACAAACTATATTTATATAACAATCATGGAAATTTTGAAAAATATGCAATTATAACAATTCCTAATAAAACAAATATAATATGTACCTATTCATTGTGTGATATAATATGAGAATGACTTTAAATAATAATAATGTACGATATGTTCCTGTATTATTATATTATATTATTTAATTTATATGAAAAAATATCGTGAAAAAAAAAATGCAAAAAAGTCAAGATTCGTGTGATCCATAAGGCAATGACGGTTTCGACGCCCGGACAGCATACGACGGATTCGAACCCGGGACCTACGTGTTTCCTACCTAACGCCTAACCTACTCGGACACAGTTTGAAATATGGAATACGGTCAAAACATCAACACTTAAGCTGTGCATCTACGGAGCGACGTAAACCAATTTATTCGATGATCATCGATTTAATCGCATATAATTCGCTTGTAATACGCGCATCTCCCATACATATATTTAACGGGGCGTGTGAAAAGCGTTTTCCGTTAATAATTATTAAATCATAGGCAAAAATTAAATTATACACGTATATATACTCTGTACCAAATAAGAGCGCACCGGGCGGCGCACGAAAACCGGTCGAAACTCGCGCATGTCAGAGAGCGCTGCCGCAGCATATTCCGGCGCCGGCCAGGTCAACTCTGAATACAGAGTGTTGTATTATCACACAAATTTTAACGGTATACGCGGTTAGACGTTGTTATATTTTTTGCGCGCATTGGTGAATATTTTGAATGTTTTTAATATTATATTGAGTTCAATACCTATGTTAAGAAAAAAAAAAACGAAAAGTATGTGTATTATTTTACTGATTAATACGCGTGAAACGCATTATTACTTCAGCTCCCTGTATTCTCGACGGCGGCGAATCCGACCGACGATCGGCGACCAATCACAGAGCGAATAGACTCGACCAGGGGGTCCAGACGTCGCTCCGCGATTCATTTGGATGCGCCAACGCGGTGCGCTCTTATTTGGTACAGAGTATACATGTATATATACGCGTACGGTCGGTCGGTCGCTTCTAAACGCGATTGCGAGGCGAACGAACCGATTTCGGGGGAAAAGCGCATATAAACGGCTTTAAAAAGACGTCGACTACACGATTCGGGCACAAACGGCTTGCGAATAGACGAAACGGTGGGAGAAAAGGAAAAAATCGTCAAAAAAGTCCGGTCGGAAGTGTATTTTTTGATCGACATTGCGACCGCTTCGGACGGCGCACGAATATAAAACGCACACCGGCGGCTTCGAATTAAGTATAAAAAAGGGCGAAAAGAGTCGAAATCGTGTAAAATAGCTAATTTTCCGAAAATTTCAAAAATCGGTGAAATGATAGGAAAACAGGAGATAACGAAAAACGTTTTAAAACCGACCGCCGCCACTGCGAAGGTACGCGATTGGTCGCGCTATAAGGAATCGACGGGACTCGGCCGGCGGGCTGGGGAAACGGAGCAGTGCTTCATTTTTTACGCCATGGGTTCACTATAGCCTGCGTTTTCCTTTCCATTGGTACACTATAGACAGCTGATTTCCTTGTCATTTTATAGTATAGGATTAATTATACATAAAATATAACAATATAAATTTGTTAAAACTTATAAATGGAAGGACAAACGAGATATATACATGTGCAGTACAAAAACAACTTACCCATGGGAAACAACCTCCCTATAGAAGTAATATCCGAGTCCATGCCAAACCTTTTCAAAATCTCTGAAATAACGATTTTCGTTCAAGACGAGTACTTAATATTTTCTATCGAAATACCCTTGATTTCAAGTAAAGTATTTAATGTGTATCGACTCATTTCATTACCGATTATATATTCGACCAATACATTAATTTTAATTGAACGAGAAGCCGAATATTTGGTAATTAACAATGATAATGACTAATTTTTCACAAAAACAGGGAAACAGTGGGAAGCATGTGTACATTTAGGAACCTACAAATTATGTAAAGGTGGTCAAACATTTCACCACCGCTCGAGATCAAACATTTGTGAAGTAGCACTTTTAGCATATCAGACAATCCCAGAAACTTGCAAAATAAAATTGCTAACATTAACAACATCTATTTGGGATACGTTATTGGATTCTAATGCATGGTTATTTTATACACAAATAACTTTAGTGACCATCAAGTGTGCAGAAACTCCACCAAAAGTAACATTTTAGATCTCAGGCGTAGGAAGGTTGACTACCTCCCAAGATTGTGAAATCCATGCAGACAATTCCATTATATTTCCAACAAGTAGATCTAATAGAAGTATCTATATTGATTTAATCCCAGAAAATAAAAAAATATGAATTATTAATATCAGAGAGTCTAAAAAATATAATTCCCCAGAACTTAAAGGACATAAGTATCATACACGATTTTAATTCTTTATCCAAAAGGTTAGTAGAAATAAGTAAGTTACAAAAGGTAACAACAGATTCTATAATAATATTTCAAATGGAATTCCATATGGTACTTGTGTATATCTTAATATTAACTGTAATATCCGTAGTTAGTGGATTAGCTATTAAGTTTAGAAATAGAATAATTAGAATGTCTTCTCCGAATTTACCGTATTTATAATTGAATAGTCGATAAGTAAACATTATAATCATAAATTTAGTTGTGAACACATATTGTACGGAATATTAGGGAACCATTAGGTCCCTAAGTTCCATTTAAGTTGGGGGGTGTTGATATATAATAGTGTATAATATAATATTATACGATGGCGACTGTCTGGAAGGAATTGCTGCAACAGCAATTCCAGGCAAGCCCTGGCTATAGGCACGGCTCGTATAGCAAGCCGTGGCAGTTGGATTGCAGAGTAGAAGACAGAACATTGTTATTCTAGCCAGAACATTATTATCGTCAGACCATTTTAAAAAACATTATATAATTCATTAAATAAGTTTTCTTTTCAAGTTTAAATATAGAAAGTAATAATGAGTTCGGAATTGTTCGTTATTTTATTTGTGCACGGACCTCCTTGGAGATCCGTAACAATATATTAAAAAAGAAAATAGATACCTACCTACAAATGCATTAAATTCCCAGTATTCATTATATATTTTTTACTAGCAATTTTCAACTTTTCTGATAATTAGCTCTTATATAGAACATGTAATAGATATTTCTTGCCTTGGTTTGATAACCGAAGAGATGATTAAAGAATTAGTCCCTAAAATTGGAGATAGAGCAAAATTGAAGTCAAACCTTGTTGTGTGGAGAAATGTTATATATATTACATCTAACAATGGGCCATTTTTGGTAAGAATTAATTCATATTGTGTTAAGTTAATATATATATATGTATAAGTAACAATATACTTGATTAGGAATTAGGATAGAAATACATGAACAATGCAATAAATTTGGTTCTAAAACGGTTTATTAAATTTAAAATTATTATAATAGGTAGGTATTTTTAATTATTACAATATTGTTAGGTACTAACATGTTAGTATCTACCTATTAGTAAATGTAATTTAACCATGGGCAAAAGACGAACTAGTTAATTGACGCCAATAATGCCACTGCCGCGCTTATCACCTCACCATACTATACTATTTATCAAATCTGTATCATACAGAATGATAAATAAAATAAATATTTTATTAATAATGCCTAGTACCTATTTTTGCTTAAAATTTAATACACCATTTAACTACTGCATCTCACTTATTTCTGGCTTGCTGTTTTCATAAATATTTAACTGTATATACTTATTAGTTATTATTATTATTTATTTATAAAGGAATTAACTGTGATTGATATTGATGATCAGTCAACATTATCTCACCAGCAAGAAACCATAGCACAAACTGAATCAACAAACTGCATTGATTTGAATAGTGATGTATATAGATACATCACTATTAGGGCCAGTTGTACCGTCTATGATTAAACTATGATTAAGCTTAATCAGCTGATAACAGATATTTAAACGGGTAAATTCGGCCGATTAAACTCTGATTAACCATAATCATAGACGGTACAACTGGCCCTTAGGAACATTAGGAACATTTTCGACAACCGACTCATCATATTCTACATCAGCATCCTCATCACCATTGCCCTAAACTTCGAATTGTAAATTCTGAATCGGTAATTTATAGTTTTAGAATGTAGAAGTATGCTAGGAATATGTAGTTAATATTTATTTTAATTTCATAGTTTCAGTTACAAAATTTACAAAACTTTCTTCAAAGTACTGTAGAAGGTAGAGCTCTTTTAGCATTGTACAAGGATAGTGGTATATTGGACACTTCAGGCAGAAGAAAACTCTGTAATTTAATAGTTAGAAGAGAACTTGATAATGACCCTGAAATGAATAATGACCTTGAAATGAATGTGTAGGTATTGAAATTATTTTTTCGTCTAGGTCCAACTTTAAAAAAGGTGGCAAAAGGTAAATTACTTGACTGTTTCAATAACAGACGTAGAGAATATAAAAAAGCTGGAATAATTACATCAAGGCGTTCTAACGGTGGACAGTTAAGCAAGCTACCACTTGGTTTAAATGTAAATTCTGCAGGTGTTTATTGTGTCTCTTAGTAATTATTAATCATATTTGGAGCAGTGTATAATAAACATTTTACAAATTTAAATAGTCATTGAAAGAAAAGATATTGAAGAGCCCCTAGCTTGGCTAAATAACTCTTCTGATCCTTGGTACATAGTTGAAGATTATCGGAGCATTACAAAATCATATAGAATTCAAGGAGAACTAGGCGCAAAAAGTAAAGGATCAGTTGGCGATTATATGAAAGATTTTCCATGTCTAAAAAAGCCATCAGGTTATACTCTTGTAAGTAATAAAAAAGAACTTATAATAATAATAATTGATTAACAATTTTTTATAACTGTTATTAATACCATTGATTATATGATACTAATAAAAATTACTCACAAACAAGGTTTACATGACTGTGGTTGTTGTATAGGACATCAATTATTAGAAGGTGCAATTATTTTTAAAAAATAACATTTTTATTTTTAAGTTGCTTAAAGACATCTGTCTGTTACATCTATCCACAAAATAAAGAAAGCATATTCGAACATTTTCCGATTTACAAATCAAAAATATTACAGTTGGCTAAAACAGCATCAACTACATTAAGAGATACCTAATTCGGTCTTACATTACAACCAATGGTAATTGTAGTGGGTCCTAAAATTAGTAAAATAAATCAATACTTTGTGACTGTAGATGATACTTTTTACGAGTTACACTATATAGAATCTGCTGTTGATTGTTGTTTTAAAGTAATACAGAAAATGCAAGTAAATGCAGAATATCAAACTGAATGCTTACCTATATGGACTTTTATTCAGAAAGCTTTTTATAAAATTAAAACTACTTACGATACAGAATATGTAACAGTCAATTCTTTGGTAAGTGATCTTGGAATACAAGAATAACTTAATTTTAAATATTATTAAATATTTTGCTCTTATATATTATTATTATTAAAAAAAAGTTAATTTTTATAAAGTTGGCCTAAAAGTCTTAATTTAAACTAACAATTTATATTATTTAGTTTAGGTATGAGAACAAAATTTAATTTAAATTCTTATCATAATTTTTATACCAAACTATAAATATGCCTATTTGTTTTGTATGTAAACAATTCTTGTCATCTATTCAAAATTTAAATAAACATTCAACACATGATTTTCTATCTATAAATGTGCTAAAAATGATTGTAACCGTTCTTTTCATTTGCTTAATTCTTTTAAAAAACATTTATCTACCATTGATTACAGAATAGATAGATGGCCCATACAATGTTAATATTTGGCGACCACCGCTAGTGTCGTCGGGATGCAAGGTGGTGGTACCCCCGTCATAGATGTTTAGTGGGAGGGAGGTAGCTTATCGCGCGGCGACCATCTAAAAATAGAATAATAATAAGAAACTGAAATGCCAAACAAAATCATTGGAAATAATAATTATTATTTTACTACCTATCACTATCTTGTTAATCGTTCACTGTGCAGTAGCCCGCAACTCGCATTTTCTGGTTCTGTAGTGTGTACTGTGTAGACTTTAGACCTGTAGAAATGTTCTGAAACATGTCTGGAAACAAGTGCCAATATTTAAATTGAGGCAAATCGAAGAAAATGTTTCCGAATTTAAAAATGTATAGTTTTCCAAAAGACGAAAGAAAAGAATTATGGATAATAAATTCAGGTAAGGAAATAATTTTAAATTTTCATAAAGCATTTCAAATATTATTTTGTCACTTCCTAGTTCCTAATTAATAATTATTAATTTGATTTATTTTTAAGAAAATATCTATTATATGTTAAGTGATTTGTAAATTTTAAAATAAATCATTTACCTACTTGTATTATTTGTTATTTTATTAACTTATTTTTGTACATTTTCACAGGAAACACAAATTTGTTTTCTATTGAACCATTTAAACTCCACAATAGGTACATTTTTCAAGAACATTTCCCACCTGAGAGTTTTATTCAAAATTTTACTCAAAATCGTTTAATAGACACTGCTATTCCCTATAATTATAAATCTGATGCACAGCCATCTACATCATCAGGCTTTGATAAAAATGCCAAATCTGAACAGGAGTATAATATTTTAAAGTTAACACCAACTAAAACATATACACGCTCAAAATCAGACATCGTAGAGTTAGTTTTTCCGAGCCCCCCTTCAATGTTTTCTACTCTTCAAAAGATTAAAATAACAAATATAAAAGACATGCCTAGCCCAAATTTAAAAAGGAAATCGGATTTGATTGAAATAGATACACCTAGAAAAATAAACCTAAAAAAAAAAAATAAAACAAAAAAACATATTAATTCATAATAAAATAACTCACATTTCAAAATTAAAAAAAAGAATTAAAACTTTTAACACTCGTAATAACGGTAAGAACTCAATAAATATCCTTAACTTTCCATCAATTAATTCCAAAGAAATCGTAACAATGCAATTAAAAGATAGGCGTCGTCCATGGACATTAAATGAAAAAAATGTAGCTTTAAATTTATATTATAAATCACCAACAGCTTATACATTTTTACGTACACAAAAAGTTAACTTACCCGGGCCATTGGTCAATCAAAATTCTTAGCAGGTTTTAGTAAATTATTATATTAGCCATATACAAAAAAAAATTTGAGTCATCTGACCATAAAGAAAGCATGCACTGTTTGTTTTGATGAGATGTATATAAAAGAATTTAATAGTATATATATAATAGAATATTCTATTCTAAAGAATTTGATTTTATTGGATGTTTTGAAGACTAAGGTCATTATGGGAGGACCAATAAAAGTGCCAACTGTGTTTTAGTATTTCTTGCTCATTCTGGAGTTAACAAAACAATTTAAAAAATTTAATAATTAATGTTTTAAAAAAGTTATTTGAGGTTGGATTGTGTCCAAAAATTATAGTTTGCGATCAAGGCACAAACAACCAAAGGGCTTTAAAATCATTAGATGTTTCAGAGGATAATCCATTTTTTTTTATCAACGACAATAAAATATTTTCTTTGTTTGATGTTCCACATTTACTCAAAAGTATTAGAAATAATTTAATTAATGAATGTTTTATAAAAGATAATAAAATAATCTCATTTGATGATATAAAAAAAACATATGAGTTGGACAAACAAAATCATAAAAGTAGGTCTTTTGCCAAAATAACAGATGCACATATTTACCCAAGTTCTTTTCAAAAAATGCGTGTTAAATTAGCAGCATAATTACTAAGCAATTCCATGTCAGCAGCAATTCGAACTTGCGTACAAACAGGACAACTTCGAAGTAACACTTCATCAATTTGCGTGTATAGAAATGTTACCTTAAATTGGATTTTTGTATATTATGTCTAGCCTTTTTTAAAATCATCAATGTTTTTTTACGATTTGGGGTTAATGTGCTACTAATTCGCTGTACTCTATTTTTTATAGTTTGTTCACGTTTTTTTACTCGGAAAGCTGTACTTAATCGTTCACACCAAGTACACCTTTTCACATTGGGCTTATGTAATAAATATGAACATTTCTCATGTCTCCAAATATCGTTTTTATTTTTAATGTCATGTTATATTAAAATACCTAAAAAAAAAAAAAAATAAGATTTTTATTCAATCAAATATTGTTTTAAATCTTAGTTCTTCCTCTTCATACCAACACATTTTATACCTTTATAATTCAATGCACTCGGGCCACCTGTACATACACGTTTTACATCTAATAAATGACGTATTAATTTTTCTATTTCCAGGTTTGAAAACGTCAATATCTTAGGCAATAGCAAATCTTCTTCACTGAATATATTGTCTAATATATAGCATCTTACACGTTGATCTTTGGTTATGACAATTTGTTTCTCAACAACAACTTTTTCATAAGTATTCATCATATCAAGTTTGGTGTAAAAAAATATCAGAACTTCGGTATTAATATAATGGTACTAACCATTTGGCAGCATTATATTATTTTTAATTTTTTCCAAAAAAGAACAATCAATTGTTTTATCCAAAACATATTATCAAAATATATGAACATTGTATATTTATATTATTTAGTTAAAATTAAAGTAACTGTTTAAACGTTTTTTAATTGTTAAAAGTAAATAACCTTTTATGTAATTACTTACCTCATGACCAGTTATATTCATATTATTCAATGCCGGGTGGTTTTGAACTGGCCATGACAATTGTCTCCTACATTTAACAATTTTTTGAGGACTTTCTTCAATAACTCTTTTTGTAGATTGCTATTAAATTATATTTTTGGTTGGTTATCAGTTTTAACATATTTATTGTAAACTACCAAAATGTACCACATTTAATTTACCTCAGCATTAACAATTCCATGTTCAACCGTATCAAAAATTTGAGGAACTGCACCTTTCGCTAAACTAGGTTTCACTTTTTGAGGAAAGTCTAAACCCTAAATTATGTAAGTATTTTTTTTTTAGTTGGTAATTATTTATTTATTTCTTATGTATGTCCTTCAAAGTTTAAATAACAGTTAAGAGGATGACTTTCACCTCAACTATTACTAAAATTATAGATGATAATATGTTTAAGGCTATGACAAATTGATTTTATATTTTCAAAATTTTATGTTTTCAAAATAAACAAAAAAATTGTGTAAATTTAAATGATGTTTAATTTGTTTTGAGACAATATTTAGACAAACCCACAAACCGACTATGTCATACCTTCAAAAATATTATTCTCTATCGTTTTTATAATGGGTGATTTTACTCTAACATAGCTTAAAAACATAAAAAAAAATGATTCTGCAAAATTGGGTTTTGTTTATGTTGCATGTGGGCCAGAAAGAGAAAACAAAATTGCGCTAACATCCTCTTAAATTTTACCAACTATGTGTTTAAAATATTGTTTTTTTAAAATATAATTAATATTTACTCTAATTATAATATGTACAATACCTCAACACCAGCATAAGTTTTTACTATATCTTTAGGGAGAAAATGTTTTTCACAAATAAACTTAATTTTGGTATCGCATCCATTAATTGATTTAATAATTTCTGTCCAAGAAGAAAACGATGCCTTAGGAATACTAAAAAAGCTGTATTCCCCATCAAAACTTTTGCAACTAATTATACAACACTTTCTGGACATTTTTAAAAACGAATACCTTATACTACTAAGAGGCAAGTGTATCCTAATAAGAACAAAATATAAGTCTTTCAAAATGTGTTTTATTATAATTTCATGACAAGTTTAATACAGTTTTTAACAAGTTATTTGCAATATTCTATATGTTCAGTCATGTTATTTGAAACTTATTTCATATTTTTGTTTTATTATTGTTTAGACATCTCTTCAGCTTCACAATTTCTCCCACCACAAAAAGACCGTATTTAAACCTGACCTCATATTTTACCGTCGTTGTCAGTCCATATTATCTTAGTTCATGGTTCAAAATGAGATGATGACTCGGCGGCGACCAGTTTTCGACTTTTCGTCGGGCGGCGGTCAGACGATGTCCCCACTACGGCGACGCGTCGGGCGCTGCAATGGAACAAAGCCACGACCATGCGCACAACTTGGCCGCCGAGTCATCATCTCATTTTGAATAGAGTATAGACATATCTATTATGTATTTATTTTTATACTTACCAATATTTTCGAATGTGGTAATATTACCATAATAGTGATAATACTATTGATTATAAATTATAATAAATATTATTATTTATATTATTCAATGATAACATTAACATATCAATAAATTTTTATATTTTTTATAAATTATATTATATAAATATTGTACCTATTTCATCTCATACAAAATTAAAACAATTATGTCCAACACGTTGGGTTAAGCGCCATGACTCGGTAATAATTTACCTAGAGTTACAAGATGCTGTGATTGATGTTCTAGAAAAAATAAGCAATTGGCCCGATAAAAATACATCTTCATCAGCAAATCAATTGCATTTTGTGATTAATAACTTTGAGTTCCAGATTACTATACACATAATAATTAATATCAACAGTATTTTCTGTTAGTTTACCATTAAGTAAACTTTTACAAACACCTGGATTTGATTTATCTCATGTTATTAATATGGCTGATAATTCTATAAATGTTTTAAAAGAAATGAGAAAAAATGTTGAAAAAGAATTTAAATTAATATTTGAAAGAGCAGAAATATTTTGTAAGAATTCCAATATCAATATTTCTTTGTCTTTGCCTCGTCGTGTTGGTAAACAAGTACGTCGAGATAATACACCTGCTACCACGCTTGAGGAATATTACAGAGTGACAATATTTATTCCATATTTAGATAATTTTATAACAATGATAAGTGATCGTTTATTAAAGCATAAATCTTTGTTAAAGAGCTTTAATTGTTTGTTTCCAATTAAAGAGAAAGATAATTCAGATACTTTTTTATTTATTTATTAAGTATTAAACGGGCAAGGCCCTGTTACAATAAACAATAATATTACAATTATATGATAATGTATAACAAGAAGAATAGCATTGATAATGATAATAACAATAATAATAAGTAATATTAATAGTAAACATAGACATATAAGTAAAATGTCTATGGAAATTGGTTGAGATAAAAGCATAGACCTTTTACTCATAGACCGGCCCTCTCCAAGTTTCCGCCGTGTCAACATAGGTGGCGCTTTTCGGTTACTGAGTTACTCTGATACGGTGAAAAAATTATCGTATAGGACCAGCTGTCTATCACGGATATAATATTATCTTGCAGTGCTTTTGAGTTTTTTCGCAGTTAAATGTTCACTTTTTACACTTTCTTTTGTTTGCTATTTAAGTTTTAAATTTAATTAATATGGGTTTAAAATGCATTGTATGCAGTAACACTGTTAGTGACAAAATTAAACTATTTCGGTTAGTATATAATATATTATCATTATTATAGTATTATTGGTACTTAAATGAACATAATAACCTATTTTATCCATTTTATAGCTTTCCAACAGATGAAAATCTTAAAAAAAAATGGATGGACATTTGTTCGCTAAATAAATGTCTAGTTTCATATCGCGTTTGTAGTGTACACTTTAAGAATGATGATTTTAAAATGAATGGTCTCTTATGTCCAAATTCTTTTCCCGTTTTAAATACATCAACAATTTTGGATGTTTCAAATACTAGCAAATTCAAGTAATACTATATCTCATCTTATAATATTTATGACTATTATGTACCTGCATAGGTAGGTTAGGTTCCCCCCCGACGGGACCCACCTTGACGTGGTGGGGGGGCTCACCGATTCCATTCGGTGCTAAGAGGTACCCAACTCTCCGGCTCTGACTTTGACTAGTCGGGGTCGGAGCCGCCCTGAGCCGCCACGACCTTAACCGGTTGGGGTGGCAGGTACGGTACCACCTGCTAACGCTAGCGAACGGACCCAGAAGGAAACTGCAAACCAGGCTAGAATTTGCCGCAAAAAATCAAAGATGGCTCAAAATTCAAAGGATTTCGTACCCCTGACCCAGGCCCCCACGGATTCGGGGGGGGGGGGCGGCCATCACGGACTCAAGAATTGGAAACACGGACTCAGCTATTAAGGATTATGAAGACATCGGTGAAATGATATGGGAAGATTGGACTAATTTAGAGTCCGAACTCAACCAAATGTTGAGGGTCTTAGGGGAAATGGACAATTTTCAGAAGGCAAACAAAAACGTCCACAAACCTTTGAAAGACTGGATCTCGAGGCTTGTGGCCTTGACGGAAGCGGTGAACACGAAGAAACCTCCTTTGAGGAAGAGCTGCGCAAGAGTATCAGATCTGGTGGGCAAGCTGCATCATATTGCGGTCGGCCACGCGGAGATTTCGCTGAGGGCAATGGAGAACAGCATCCTACTCCCCCCTGCAGCATCTAGCTCCCCAGAAGCCCCCAACCGGGCAGCTAAATATGATAAGAAGAAGAAAACACGTGAAAACGCGGCGGACCAGGACCCAGGTAGATGGTTCGAAGCCAAGATGAAGAAACCTAGGACTAGGAAGCATGATGCGGCAGAGGTTAATGCCAAGCTCCCCCCACCTTCTCGACCCCCCCGACCACCTCGGGGACAAACGTTGAAGAGAGTGAGGGCGAAACCAGATGCGGTACTGATCAAGGCAGTGAAAGCGGACGGCGATGATCCAACGACCTCTTACGCTACTATTGCTGCGAGGTTGAAGGAGAAAGTGGACCTCACCTCAATGGGGGTCACCATCGAAAGGACGAGGATGACTAAAGCTGGCAACTTGCTGCTTGAAGTAGGAGGCAAACAACCCGCCCCTATAGCACTGAGTGATGCAATCACGGCAGCTATAGGAAATCTAGGAGAAGCAAGTGTGCTCCAGCAAAAGGTAGCGGTTGAGTTCAGAGGTGTTGACGTAACGGCAAATGAGGATGACGTTCGTAATGCGCTGAGGGCTCGCAGCGGCGAGGAACCGTTCAGAATCGGAAAAATGAGAAGATCGCCTGGCGGACAGAAGCAGGTTGATGCACTCCTCTCACTGAGGGTGGCGGAAGCACTTCTTTTCGAGGGCAGAATGAAGATTGGCTGGAGTACCTGTAAGGTGCGCCTTAAGGAGCGCTCCAGTCGGTGCTACAGATGTCAAGGATTTGGACACTACGCTGCGAACTGCACTGGTAAAGATCGCACGAAGACGTGCATGAGATGCGGAGAAGATGGGCATATCGCAGTGAGGTGCAACAAGACTCCTTCATGCCCACTATGTAGAGACAATGGTTTCGAGATCGGCCACATTTCGGGTGGCGAAGCTTGTGACAGCAGGAAGAATAAAAAACATTAGTTAAGTTACATTTTGTTGGCCGAAGGCCCCTCTAGGGTGGTTAGAAGCCCCCATTTTTATGTAATTTATAATTTGTATTATTTTTGTGATATTATTGTTGAATAAACGATGCTGCTGGGAGGAAGTAATGCTCACGCAGTTCCCTCCCGGTCGGCGATTCAGAAGTTTAAAAAAAAAAAAAAAAAAAAAAGGTTAGGTAGGTTAGGTTAGGTTAGGTTAGGTTAGGTTAGGTTAACCTAACCTGCATAGGTTACTAGCTGTAAGAGAAAGCTGTATGAACCTGAAAACAATGAGTCAAATGAGGTTTTGGGACAAATTACAATCAGCCCGAATACTCAGTAAGTAATATTTGTTAATTAATAATATAAAATGTTAACTATAATATAGTTATTTGAGATATTATCTCAAATTTAATTATAAGTAATACAATTAGTTCAAATTAATTTTAGATCTCCAAGTTCAAGTACAACTACAATAGCGAATAATGTAAAGTGTCCAAGATATATTGGTGATTTAAAAGTTGAAGATTTCATTTATCCTAGAAGAGCTAGTAGAAATTTAACGTTATAAAGAATAAACACCATGAAACTTTAAAAAAATTGAAAATTAGGTACTAGAGAGAAAGCTAGAAGACTTCAGAACAGAGTCAAAACTTATGAAGACCTTATAAAAGTTCTAGAAGAAAAAAATCTAATTTCAGAAAATGCATCACACATTTTACAGGTATATAAATGTAAATGTATGTAAAATGCAAATCTGGGATGACGACTTTTAACTTAACTAGTTACAAAAAAAAAATAGAATGTAGAAAATAACTTAATTAATAACTAAGTTAAATAATTGTAACTTAACTTAGTTATTTTGTTAAAATGAAAGTTATTTGTAAAAAGTTATTTACAAATTTTCCTATTATGATTTATGTGATTTATGAACTGTATATTATTTGCATTGATATTTCGGAGAACCGCGACGGAGGTATATCTACCGACGATTGTATATTATTGTGTTTATTACTATACTATAGACATATTATTATAGTATGTACTTATGATTAATATACTATATAGACATATTGTAATTAGTTGAACAAATTGGTTAACTTGCCCAGCTTTGGTAAAATGTAATATTGCACTTTTGGGTCTTGTGCCCATTATATAATAATAAATAAATAATATAAAATGATAAGTATTTAAAATTATTATTTTAGATAATATGTATTTAGTATTATATTTCTTTTTTGTTTACTTAAATATTTATTTATTTATTTTCATAAACTAAATTAATCACTTATTTCAGAATTTTTTTTTCCTACAGACATTTGGTTCAAAAACGTTAAATGAAATTGTTAAACGAAAAAGTGCCAATAGTAATGGTGCTTATAGTGATGAATTAAGGAAATTTGCTGTTACTCTCCAGTTTTATTCAACAAAAGCATACAATTTTGTTAGGAAACAATTTTCTAATATTTTACCTCACCCTCGAACTTTAACTAAATGGTACAAATCAATTAACGGAGATCCTGGTTTTACCAGTGAATCATTTAACACCCTTAAACTTAAAACCCAAGAAAATTCAATTGTTCTTGCTAATGTTGTAGTTGATGAAATGTCTATTAAAGATAAAATTGAATTTGATGGGACTAAATTTCATGGTTTAGTGGATATGGGCTCAGTTGGAATTGACAATTGTGACAATGATAATATGGATCACGCTACAAATGCTTTAGTATTTATGGCTTTAGGTATTAATTCTAATTGGAAATTGCCATTAGGTTATTTTTTAGTAAAAGGGTTGAATGGCAGTGAGAGAGCAAATTTAATGCAAAAATGTCTAGAACTTCTTAACGAAGCTGGTGTGAAAGTTCATAGTATTACTTTTGATGGAGCCCATAGTAATTTAAGTATGTGTACCAAGTTAGGAGCAAATTTCAATTTAAATAATCCACAGTTCTTCTTTCCACACCCTGTAACCCAGGAAAAAATCTTTGTATTTTATGACCCATGCCACATGATTAAATTAGTCAGAAATACACTGAGCGATAAGAAAATATTAATTAATGCTGCAGGAGAAAAAATTGAATGGGATCATATACATAAATTACATTTAAAAGAAAAAGAAGAAGGATTAAGATCAGCTACAAGGTTAACAAATAAACATATATTTTTTCACAACGAAAAAATGAATGTTAAATTGGGAACACAAGTATTTAGTTCAAGTGTATCTAATGCATTAAAATTCTGTGAGTCATTAGGTATATTTCAAAATACAAATCCTACAGCAGAATTTTGTTTATTCATGAACAATGCATTTGACATTTTGAATTGCCGCATAAAATTTTCAAAATCCCCATACAACCTGGCATTATCTCCGAACACATACATAAAATATAAACAATTCATTGAATTATTTGAAGAGTATGTATTTAGTCTAAAACTAGTTGATGGATTAAATGTTGTGAACTCTCCAAGAAAAACAGGATTTGTAGGTATAGTATGGGCCTTGAAAAATTGGTTAAATATGTATGATTTAATAAAAGAAAAAGATTATGGCCTGGAATATATTCTGTCATACAAAATTTCACAGGACCACTTGGAAACTTTTTTTAGTACGGTTAGATCAAAAGGAGGTTATAACAACAATCCCTCAGCAAAGGAATTTAAAAGATCAGTACATCCAGTGGATGGTACATCAGTATGGTAACTGTCTGCCAGAATCCATGTTGTCCAAATCTTACAATACACCTGACTCAATAGTAAATGAGAAAGAAGAACAATTAGAGATTGTACCCCAAAACCAAGATCATGATTATTTTAATGTTTGTATAAAAGCTTCCCCATATGTTGAAAATGTCACAGAGTACATTGCTGGATTTGTTGCAAGAAAGGTTATAAGAAAAATTAACTGTGAAATATGTAAAACGTTTCTAATTGACAATGACAATTCAAATGTGTTAATTCAATTAAAAAATAGAAATGATGCACTTTACAAACCTAGCAAAGATGTTAACTTTATTTGTTGTGTTTCGGAGAGATGGATTCGAAGCTCAAATTTAAAAGAAATGTACAAAAAAAATGTCATTAATAAATTGTACATAAAAATTAAATCTGAAGTATACAATTCCATTTTTCGAAGCAGTATACTGGATGAACATGTAAGTAATCAGAATTTATTTACAAACCACAGAGATCAGTTAATAACAATAATAATAACTACTTTTATAACATTAAGACTTCGACATATCGCCAACCAAGAACAAAAGGAAACAATGGGAGTTAGAAAAAAATTTACTAAACTAATTTTATTTAGAAATGAATAAGTAGGTAACTAAATAGTCAGTTTTTTGTACTTAATTTTGAATGATTTTATATGTTTGATACTTATTATTTAGTTACAAATATATTATTATGAATTATAATAAATAGTGGTCGTTTATTTTATATGTATAAATTAAATTAAAAAATTAATTATAGGTATTAGGTACCTATATTATATTTTCCAACTATTAAATATTTTCATTGCACAATATTTTTTAATACATCGAATGTATGATTTTATGGTAGCACTGATCCATAAATGGACTGCATCACTGCGCTATGTTGGCACGCGACTATCAATGTATTTAGTATAGGATGGGCCGGTCTATGAGTAAAAGGTCTATGGATAAAAGACAAAGAATAAAATTATAAAAATGCATAGAGTGTTTAAACGTTAAGAGTTAAATAATTACAATACGATTTAAATGAGTCTAAATTTGGTGAGCTGAACATATCAATTTTAAATGTGTTAACAGTTTTCATTCATCTATTGCAGGGAGTATTATTTGCATAATTAGTAACTTGTAGGCTTGAACGAAAAGTGTTAGTCGATCGCGTATTAAAAGTGGGAGTATAGAAGGTTAAACGGTTTAAAAAATCGGGACAGTCTACATTACCATTCAAAAGCTTATAAAGGAAACATAAGTCAAGACTTATACGGCTGTATTCCAAAGTGTGGAGGTTTAATAAAGATAGGATTGGATTGTATGTTGTGTGAGGTTCTCTAGGTATGGAACACTTAAATGAGATAAAGCGTAAGAATTTGTGTTGTACTTTTTCCAATCTTGTTTTTTTGCCTGTCTGGTAGGGATACCATACAATAGAACCATATTCACAGATGGGACGTATTAACGAACAATAAATTGATTTTAGGGTAAATTTATCAGTAAAATCTGAACAACTGTGATTAATAAAACCTAATAATTGATGTGATTTGTTAATAATCATGTGAATGTGACAATCAAATTTTAGCTTTGGGTCAAATAATATACCTAGGTCTTTAATAGGACCGTTAGAACGAAGAAGAGACAAATTATTTATAAAATAATTATAGTTAGTAGTTGATCTAGATCTATTGAAAGTCATTATTTGACATTTATTAATATTGAGTGGTAGATAATTTTTAGTACACCAATCATATAGGATATTCAAATCATATTGAAGTAAATCCGCATCCTGTTGTGAATTAACTATACGAAAAAATTTAATATCATCTGCAAACATTAGTTTAGAACAGTTATGAAATTTTATATCATTTATAAATAAATTGAATAAAATTGGAGCTAAGTGAGATCCTGATGTAATACGCATTGGGGTAGAACTATAACCTTTGTAAGAAATAATATGAAAACGATCTTGGGTAAAAGAAATTAGCCAGTTAAGGAGGGAACCACATATACCGATTTGTTCTAATTTTATAAATAAAATCTGGTGATTAACTTTATCAAAAGCTTTGGAAAAATCAGTGTAGATAACGTCAATACTATTACCAGTCTTAAGAGCATCAGATAAGAAGTGTTGAAAGACCAGCAGATTAGTAATGGTACTCTTATTACGACGGAAACCCTGCTGATCATCAATGATAACATTAGCTAAAAGAGGTACGATTTTTGCGGCAATGATAAATTCAAATACCTTGGGTATAATAGGTAGTGAGATTGGTCGGTAATTGGAGATATTAGACAGATCTGATGATAATTTTGGTACAGGGCGAATAAGACTAGTTATCCATGCATCAGGAAAAATACCAGTAGAAAGCAACAAGTTAAATAGATATAATAAGGGCGGAGAAAAAGTATAAGTACAGTTTTTGAAAAATATACTAGGAATTAAGTCAGGTCCAGGACATGAGCTAGAAGAAAGTGAGTTAAGCGAATTAAAAATATCAAGTAGGTCTATTGTACATGAGTGCAAAGGCGACAGGAGTACTTTTGGTTGATTAAACTGCCTATAATTTAAATTAATATTAATGTTATTTTCATATACACTAGAAAAATAAGCAGAGAAAGAATTGACAATATCATTCGGTGAATCTAATTTTTGATTGTTTAAATACATACAATTTGGCAAAAAGTTTTGCGTTTGTTATTTATAAATTTCCAAAAATTTTTAGGATAGACCTTTAAGTTTTTTTGTAAATTATTAATATAAAGTCGATAATCTGATTTTGAGTAAAACTTACATTTGGCACGAAGTTCTGAAAACGCTATGTAGTCACTCACCAAACCGGAACTCTTATACATTTTATGGGCAATTTTTTTCTTAAAAACTAGAGATTTTAAATTTTTTGAAAACCAAATCGGGTAGTTAACAATTTTAGGAACAAAAATATCAATGATTTCATATATAATACAATATAACATATTTACAGCATCATTTATAGTTAAATTTTTAAGTAGATTATTCCAATTAACCGAAGCTAAAGTGAAATTAATATCATAGTAGTTACAGTTATAGAAATTATACGTACATAAATTATATTCAATAGGATTAATTATGGTAATGGGAAAAGAAATAAGTAAGCCTGGATGATAGATATCACAAGGTAGAAGTGGACAGTCTGATCGATTGACTGAAACGCTGTTTGCATCAGATAAAATTGAACCATTGTTATTTACAATATGGTTAAATTGATAAATGTTTAAAAAAGATAATTTTGACAGAAATTCAGACTCTGTTAAAGTTAAATTGGATAAACTAGGGAAAAAGCCTATAGGGCTAGGGAGCCAAGTTAACTTTGAAAGATTGTAGTCACCAACCATAATTATATTTTTTACATATGGTAAACTAGACAGTAGGCTGCTAACGATATTAAAATGAATATTATAATTGTCGATATTAGAACGAGGTGGAAAATAAACATTACTTACTAGTATATATGAGGTATTAATTTTAATGAGTACAAATAAATGCTCGATAGGACTCGCGGGTACAGATAACAAACAAGAATAATATTTATTATTTATAGATAATAGAACACCACCGCCTCTTGAACAGATGCTTGTATTAGAGTTACTAATACCTAATTCCGATGTATTGACATTTGGCGATAACCAAGTTTCAGAAAGACAAATTATATCATAATCAAATAAACATACATTACGCATCAAAACATTTAATTTAGTATTTATTCCTCGGACATTTTGATAGTATATATTTAAGTGATCAGAAACAGGGCCAGTTACTAGTTTTTTTTAGATAGTTGGGATACCTTTTAAGAACTTGACAATTAAATCTGTCTCACCAGCTGCTTTTCGTTCTTCAAGCTTGGCATATACGTTTCGCAGTTGATCACGTTGCATTTGGGTGCGGTCCGGAGAAATACGAATGGAGCAGTAATTTGGAGTTGAACGCAATTTGTGTTTGTTTTTCAAAATTACGAAAACATCAGATGCATCTTGCAGAGACATTTTTAACGGGCGAGGTTTTGTAGATTTTCTACCTAATCTATTGATGGCTGTAGGAGTCATAACAATTGATAGACTATCAAAAATAGATTTAATTACAGAAGAATCATTTGCCGAGGTATTATCATCAGATTCCGGAACATTGAATATAATCATATTACGTGATCTTAACTGTCTGTCAGAAACTTCGGATATTATGTTGTTATCTGTTAAGATATTCGTGGACTAAAATTTAGATAAACGGGTTTCAATTAAAGTTACTTTATCTTCAAGTGAGGTGGTGCGAACGCCTAAGTCACGCAATTGATTTGAAACATCATCAATTTTTCTATTGAGTTTTACAAAAAACTGTTCATGTTTAGAAAGAGTAGATTTAATTTCATTAACTGCAGTAAGAATGTGATCAATTTTAGTAGAGTAATCCATATCCGAAGGAGTATGCAATGTGGTTTTCTTAACTCCAAGTTTTGCAGCTTCGCAGGTGGTGCATAGCCATGAACTAACTCGTTTTTTTTAAAGAGTCACCAGAGAAGCTAGAAAGGGAAGTACAAGCGATATGCAAACAGTTTTGAAATTTAACGCACTTTACAAGGTTAGAATCGTCCAGAGAACAGTTGCACTTTGCATATTATAAAGTTAGATAACGGAACAAATAAAACAGAATACGTCCAAAACGAACAAAGGTCGAACAAAGACTGTGAAAATGACTTTTGAAAATGACATAAAAAATTTAGTAAAAAAATATTCTCAATTATTACCATAATTTTCTCCTTTAGTAGTTATTGCAGAACTTAAATTATGGTTAACTTCTCTACAAAATGTATCTAAAATTCCATTTAATTTATCAGAATTACTTAATAATTGTAATGAAAATGACTATCCAAATGTCTACAAACTGTTAAAAATCGTAGCAACTTTACCCATCACAACAGCTACTGCAGAAAGGTCATTTTCGACAATGCGACGATTGAAAACTTATCTCAGAAATGCCATGGCAGAGAACCGTTTAAATGGATTAGCGCAGCTAAATATTCACAGGACAATTGAAGTTGATCCCGAAGTAGTGTTGGATGAATTGGCAAAAAAAAAAAGAAAAATTGATTTATTGTAATTACATTGTATTGTAGGTGATAACTATTTTAACCCTGACATTCGGACCCTATATATATTATTATGTATTTTATTAACAATTTTTAAAAAGTTGTATTTATTTAAAATTAATAAATTGATGTATTACATTTTTTCTATATATGTTATATTTTTACAATAAAAGTGAATATCCGATACCATGAAGTAAAGTACCTATGGTAAGTTTAAATTTGCTGAACCCCCCTCATAAAAAGTTCCTGGCTACGCCACTGATTATATATCATTATATATATAGAAGTATAGTAGTACTATTTAATTAACACATAGCTTACAAGTTTATTATTTACGGCATCAATACTGTTTTCACTATCTCTTGCTGTGTATGGGCATTTAATTTCTACAATTTCCTCCAGTTTTTGTCTAGCTTCAAGTTCCATATTATGTCCATAAGTAATTTGTTTTGATGTAACTGGAGGCTTATAAAGTATATTATGGACTTTGGTCTTGCAGCTGGTGTTTGGTCGCATTTTACAAATTTCACCAAATCGTGAAGCTGTCAACCTAATCTTTCGTTCTTAAAACCAATTGGGATTCAAGTTTTGATCCCTCGTATCAATTTCTATTTGTTTTGTGTCAACTGTATTCAGATACTGAATAAATGTATTTTTCTTTTTTTTTAGTTCATCTTCATCTATAGTATCCATTAGAGGTTCTACTAACCCATAATGACTGTCAGGACCTTTTGATCGGGCACTATAGTAAGGCCAGCGAAAAATGAGCCACGATTGTAGAGCCCCAAGTGGCGTCTTTTCGGTAAGGCTATAGTTTTTAGATATCCTTACTGAAAAAAGCCACTTGGGGTTTTACAATCGTGGCTCATTTTTCGCTGGCCTTACTATAACCATTTTTTCCTATAGCTTTTTTGATTATTATAGGTACAATTTCTGTCGGTTTATAGTATTCAACCTTATACGATCTTTATTTTTTATAAACTTTTTACCAATTGTTCCTGAAATTTAAGTGGTATAAATATATAAGTATAAAGACTAATAGAATTTAGAGCATAATAGTATGTATCTATGTTTGACTACCTAATATGTTTTAGAATTAAAGGAAATAATAGCTGCTTTTACCCTGGTCGAATAATTATTACTTTGCGAAAAATTAATTCTCTTTCCACCCACGTATTTATTGATAATTGAATTAAATTGCTCGCATATATTATTATCTAGATCTTCAATTAAACTGGAGCTATTATTTACTAAACGAGATGTAATTTTGTCTATTTCTAGTAAAATACCACATCGTAATGCTTCTGGTACCATATTGATTATCATATTAGATTATCAAGTTTCTACGACTTATACTTTTTGAATAATAACAAAAATCAAAAATCATTTTTCGATAAATCGTTATCCAATTTTCTACTGGAAACCACCCCTGACTTGGAAAATTCAAGCATTATTTCGAGTAGTTTTGGTATACACAGATTTAAAAAAAAACACACATCATTGTAAAATCAATACATTCACTACGTTCAAAATTTTAAACGTACACAAAAAAACTATATTATAACAATTTTCTGATTCT